GGCCGTGGGGGGGGCGGAGGCCCCACCAGGGAGGGCGGTGGGGCGGGGCCCGGGGCAGGGGTGGGTGGAGAAGGAGCCAGGAGCCTTTAGGTCTCCCCGAGGCCACGCGGGGCTGCTCCCGCCGCCGAGCCGGTCGCAGCAGCCCGAGGCCTTCCCAGGGAGCGGAGCTCACCTGAAGGGCGTGCAGCCTTTCGGGGCTGGCTGAGGGCTGCTCCTCTGTCGTTGTCCTACGGGGCTCTCTCTCTAAGGGAGCAGAGCAGGCCGCAAAGGGCCATGTATGTGCTCGGGGGCTGTAACTGAAGGCTCCTGCGGGCGGCCTTGGGCTGCCGGGCAGCACCCGGTGGCAGCAGGGCTGGCTGCTCCCTGCAACCAGGGCACAGACCCAGCTTCTTATCTCATGCCTAGTTTCTGGGCTGTATCTGTGCAGGGGGTTCCTGCTGGTAATTTTCTAGTAGCCGGCCCAGTCAAAGCTACTAATGCAAAAGGCCTCTTTTGTGATTTGTTCCTATTCTGCCTACCATCCCTAATGATAATAAATGCAATTTGTGTATTCGTGTTCTGGTGTAGTTTGCTGCAAGAGGCAGCCTCCACGTGATTCTCGTGTGGCATGATACTTGTAAGTGGTGTTCTCAAAAGGCAGACACACTGCGTCTCTGAAAGCACTATCTCTGAATTTTATCCTTCTGCTTTATAATCTAAATTGTCTGTTGTCCAACAGTTTGACATTTAAATATTATGCTGCCCAATGATTGATTTATCCGGCTCTGGAATGATTAAAACGTTTGCTTTATCCTTCTTTTAAAGCATCCAACTTCTGCTGCATTCATTGTTAGTCTCTGAAATGTTCAGGAAAATCTCTGCTTCCCAGATCTTGCACCATCTGTTGAATCCCCTTTTCTCTCAGCTTGCACGATCTGCTGGCTACAGCAATGCCATATAAGAATCAGGATGGCTATTTCTGTGTTCTAGCTTCTCTCTCTGACAGCTTGCTGGCTGATGCTTGTTAAGTTACTTTATGGCTAAGTTTTAGTCTCCCTTTCTGTAGAGTACGTACTTTCCTTGGTATGTGCTCTCTGGCTCCCAACTTGTGATGCATGTTACCTACTCTGCTAATATCTCGCGTCCTGTTTACAGCAGGTGTGGATGCAGGAGGTACAGTACTGTTTTCCAAGAGCCTCATCAACCTTATTAAATACTTTCATTTTAAAATTTTCCATCCTGGTTTCTAGCTGTGTAACCATTGCTGAGAATGTGTGCTCTGTGGGAAGCACATGGTGATTAGCTGCACCTTTCTTAGCTATTCCTACCCTCTGTACTTTTGTTTTTCTTTTGTTTTGCAGGATTTGTTCTTGTTCCTTTCAATGGAGAGTGACTGCACAGAACCATAATGAAGACCAGCCCTCGCAAGCCCTTAATTCTCAAAAGAAGGAAACTGACCCTCCCACAGAATGATGCATCTGTTGCTTCAGCAAAAGATAAGAACAGTGGTCAGGATGAAAAAGCTCCTAAGCAAGAGCACAGTCAAGAGGACGAGTACAATAACCATCATAGAGACAAAATGGACTGTGGCCTGCAGAAATTCCCAGCAGGGATAAAGATTATTGACCACCCTACCATGCCCAACACACAAGTGGTAGTCATCCCTACAAATGCTGATATACAGAGTATCATAGAGGCACTAACAGCAAAAGGAAAAGAATGTGGCAACAACGGGCCCAACAAGTTCATTCTCATTAGCAGTGGGGGCACTTCCCGTCAGCATGTACAGCGCCATCTCAGCATCTCCCATCAGAGGAAAAACACAGTGTAGCAAAGGCTGCACATGGTCAAGAGAAAGACAGGAGTGTTACACAGACACCAGGTCATGCAGGAGGGACAATGGCCTGGCATGCAGAAGTTGGCTCTGTGGCTGAACGGGAACAGGAGAGCAACAGTATGTAATATTCTCTTCTTTTTTTGTGCTGGCAGATAAATGAGATGTGAAGTAGTGAGTGTAGTGCTTGGATCTTGGCATACAATAATGAGAAGTATTTTATTAGTTACAAAATAGCTATGGGTTTGATTCTAATGATTTACATAGCTATGTGTGTACAGTGAAATCTGAAGGATCTTGGATACATTTTTAGTGGAAAAATGGCGTATAAAGTAGATGGTATAGAAAAGCAAAATTTTCATCCTGGGGAAAAAAGAAGGGCTAGCTTGAGAAAAGCAAGTCTAGAAACACAAAAGACTGAGCTTCATCTGGCAAAAAGACTTTGGTTGAATTCAAGACTTCAATAGAGTCAGTTACAAATCATACAGGCCTAGGCTTTGAAAACAACTAAGTGGTCAGTCTGTTTCTTTCTTGGCTCTCTCATAACTACTGAATAAATGTTAGAAGTGGGATGAATTTTACTGCTCATCTGCTCGAACACTGCTCATATCAAGTTTGTATTTGCAACTTTAAATAGCTATGTAGCTTTTGGGAAGTCTTATCTTATCCCACAGTATAGTACTGCCTGACAAGAACCCATAGACAGCTGCAACACTTAGGTTGCTAAAGAAATAACAAAAACATGATATTTCTCACCAGTTATAATAAAATTATGTTAGTTTTCATGGTGGTTGTTCAAAAACCTGGAAACATCTGGGCTTCTGATTTGGGTCTTGTGCTAGGTCTTTCAGTTGAGTTTGACACCATTTTCCTTGGCCTCTGCTTACTAGATTCATCCTTTAGCTAAAAGTACTTGAATTTTTGAAGTACTGAATCAACATTGTCCTGTTTTGGTTGAGAACAATGGCCTGGTTTGAATGTTTGTTTTTAAGGCTGCTGTTTTTTTCAGTAATTGGGCAGATTCCAGATTCACATGAGATTAGGAATTCAAGGTTTAATTCCTTTCACAAGAAACATTAGCACTGCAATGCTATCTTGTCCCTATCTTGAGACACAGCTACCTCTTTTAAAAAGTGTGACTACTGCCTTCCTTTTGGCAGTTGAGATGAATGAGGAAGAGTGTTACTTGTGAGTAAGCAGAGGTATGGGCTTGTTATCCCAACAGGCAGTGGTGGATCAATAAACTCTGTATTGGACAATAGTCTCACTAACATCCAGTGGCTGGGGAAGATGAGATCTGATGGGCTAAATCCCTGTTCTGTGAAGCAAGACGCAGAGAAAGAGAATAAGATGCCTCTGCAGGAAAGAATCAAGGTAAGTAGAAGACAGCAGTGTGTGTGCTAAAACTTCTGGTAGGGGAGTAAACCCATGTGGATCAGAAGACTTGCAAGAACTAGGCATCACCATCTCTATTCTGTGCTGGGCCTTTGCTGATTTGAATAGCTGAACCTGGAGGATCCAGGGATGTTCCAAGGCCCTTGTCACCTTTGTGAGGACTCATGTTTCAATTCTTCTGTCTCTCAGACTGAAGAAGATTCTGTTGCTCCTGCTACTCCTATCACTGGCACCATCTCGTCCTCCTCGTGGCAAGATTCAGTATCAGAACGACCTCCTTACTCCTACATGGCCATGATACAGTTTGCCATCAACAGTACAGAGAAAAAGCGAATGACTCTGAAGGACATCTACACTTGGATTGAGGATCACTTCCCATATTTTAAACATGTGGCTAAGCCAGGCTGGAAGGTAATTAGCAGGCTGCAGGCCACAGGGTGATACTATCATATGCCTTCTGGATGAAAAAGTAGTTGTTCCCCAGTTTGCAGAGCAAGATGGATATTACTTTAAACACCTCACTGCAAATACCCTCTCATTCCTGATGTTCCCTGTTCTGCTTCTTGTATCCCATTTCTCATTCCACTTAGGCAAAAAGATGAAGTGTTTGACCCCTGGAGTAAGAATAGGGATCTCGGGAGTAAATAGAATGAGAGACTGATGACAGTGTTGGCTGGGTATGCAGTGAGTATGAAGGTCCATGTTGTCTACACCTGGGAATGTAATCCCTCTGCTAGGGCAGTCAAGTCTCAGGTAGGCCCTGCTGTGCTGATAACAAAAAGACTGCTTTTCAACCTCCCCCTCACTCCTTTCTCCCCAGAACTCCATACGGCACAACCTGTCTCTCCATGATATGTTTGTCCGTGAGACATCTGCTAATGGTAAAATCTCATTCTGGACTATTCACCCTGAGGCAAACCGTTGCCTAACACTGGACCAGGTATTTAAGGTGAGTTCCTCATGCAAAGAAAATGGAACAGGCTATCCAGTTCCTAAATGCTACACTAGCCAGATGCACCTTATTTTAACAGGAAAGTTAAGCCTTTGCTGGATTCAGCTATTTCTCTTGACAAATAGACAAGTGCTGTATTTGAAATAGAAGGTGCTGTGGCCGTTCATATGAACGGAAACTTCTATGGGACGTGTTTATTCTTCAGGTGGTGTACCAAATTTAATAGCGAGCCTGTTCAACCTCTTTCCATGGGTCTGATTCAAATTCCTGGTGAGAACCTTTTCAGTGAAGTTGATCAGGAGTTTTTCTGCTGTTTGATTAGATAGGATGGAATAGAATTTGATTGCATAGGATGGAATTGCCCTATCCCAGCTAAGTATTTTAGGAAGTACCATTTTGTGGGAGAAACAGCTTGGGAGTATGGAATAGATGTTTACTCTTCTGTGTTATCTGCATTGGGTGGGCAGATTGAAACTTGTTTGCTCAAGTTATACGAGGTTACAAGGTCCCATTTGTTCCCCCTTTGGTTGATTAAATCATCTTTTTCTCCCTCTCAATGCCTTGCTGCCATCAGCCGCTGGACTTGGGGTCACCAACATCGCCTGACCACTCTGAATCAGTAAGACTTACCCTCTGGCTTGGGGCTTGGGCTTCCATTCTCTTCTTGCAGCTACTGAAGGGAAGGACAGGAGACTTGGGGAGGGGGACTGAGTCACTGCTGCACCTACTCATAGAATCATAGAATCATAGTCATACAGCTCACCTTTTTTTGGGAAAGGAGTTGAGCCAAAGGTTAATTGCCTTCAGATGATGTGCTCTCTCTACAGCTGGTAGAGCAACTAGAAGTCTGCTGCTGAGGCAGGCTGTATTGAGCAGGAAGAGGCTTCAAAGAACAATCCCAGACAGATTTCTAGTAAAATCCTCATCTCCATGACAGCAGTCCCAATCTGTCCTAGGACTCACATCCAGAGAATAGGATCTCTCTGTCCTTTTTCATTTTGGGTCCCAGCTGCGTTGTGGTTTTCAGAAGGATGAACCAGTTTACTGTGTCTTTTCTGTTCAGCAGTTTTAACAATGACAGATCTGCAAGTGGCCAAACATTTTTTTACTGTGGCTACAGCCCTGGCCTTTTTTCCATCTGCTTAAGACTCCTGATTGCTCTGTGTTGCCTCTGCGATTCCACTTGAACGTTTACCTGGCCCATGGTTTGTATAAAGATCCAATATAAAACAAAGCTATCCCATTCACTTCTAAGGCACTGAGGACACCAAAACCAGGTCACTTCTGCAGTAGTCTGCAGCTGGAGTAGCTCTGTCATGCCATCTCTTTTTCCACACAGCTTTTGGTTGGTAGCTGTCTTGGAGATGGCATGGCTACAAAACAGTAACTGGCACAGAGCCAGTATGAGTGCTGGGTGCTAACAGCTGCTCTCTCTGTGGTAGCACAGCACAGACATGTGGAGTTGCAGTTCTGAATTAACAGCAGTATAAAGACGGATTATCCCCTTTACATCTTTCTTTTCTCACTCTTCTCATCTTTCTTATTTCACAATGACTGCAGCACCAAAAGCAACACCTTCCTGATCCCCAGAAGAACATGGGAAGCAACAGCAGCAGCAAAACTGAACCCCAGAATGCACGTGAGTATCTACATCAACCTAGGCCAAAGACAATAGTCCTATAAATCTGTGGCACTCTCCCAGCTTCCCTTAGGAATAAATATGGAAATTGTTAGCCAGATTTGCCAGCTTTTAGGCTTCCTACTGTCAGGTTTGGAGCTGAAGGCAGAATTGCTGTGTCTGAGAGAGGATGTGATGGGGAGATGGATGGGATTGGGTACTCAAATGGAGCAAGAGCAGAACTTGCCCCAGTTGGAGGGCTAGGATCTGTATTAAAGACTTTTCTTGTTCATTATGCCTTCTGGCTTGGGATTTGTACCTTCAAAATTAGCAGAGAAGGCAGCTGAGCCTATCTCTGAATGTTTATTTGGGGGTATTTAAAAGGACTTCCTCTTAGAATTCTGGGTTTCAAGAGGTAGTATAGGAAGGGCAAGAAGTTAGCAGGTTCGTTCTTTTCTCTTCCAGGTCGAAAGATGAAGCCTTTACTTCCTCGCATCAACTCCTACCTGGTTCCAATCCAGTTTCCTTTGAGTCAACCTCTTGTCTTGCAGCCTTCTATGAAGGTTCCTCTGTCCATGGCACAGGGAGCATCCCTCAACAGCTCAGAGACTTACCGGAGCAATAAGCGTGTGCGAATTGCTCCAAAGGTTGGTTTATTGGGTTTTTGAGGGGTTTTTTTGTGGGTTTTTTTGGTTCATTGATTTGTTCACTGATTCATTGAAAATAGATTTTGGGAGGGAGGGGGTGTTGGTGTGGGTGGGTTTTTTGGTTGTTGGTGGTTGGTTGTTATTTTTTCTATAAATCTTGCCTTCTATGGATCCTGTTCTTTATATATCTTTACCAAGTGCTATGTAACTCTAAGCTCATATTAAGGAATTGGCCAGTGACAATCCTTGCTGTCCATCTCGGTCTCTAAGGTTAATTATTAACTGCTAGTTTACTTGCTATGAGGATGTTACTATAATTCACTAGAGGAGGGGATTCTGTAAAGACAATTTTTCTCTGTTGCTTGGATGTGAAGACGTAAGAATCAAAGAAATGGCTTTGTTCTGCTCTGAAAACATTCAGATTTTTGATAGCTCTGAAGAGACATGTGACACTGGAACTTCTTCTGAAAGAGCATTTATTTGCATGTAGTCTCTTCCCGGAGGTTTTCAGTACATGCTGCTTGCTAATTCTGTGGAGTTCCCAGTTATCCTGGTCTAAAGCAAAGCAGCTGTTGAATCTTTCTCTTGTCATCTCACTGATTGCTCTTGGATGCTTAGACATTGTAAAGCTCTAACTTCTTCCATCCTGTCTAACCATAACCCTGTTTTCATTTTTGTGCCTGTAGCTTTACCTTCTCTTCTGGTATGATTTATCTTTCTCCTATGCTCTTTTTCTGTTGATAACCTCATTTTTTATTCTTTTTTAAATTTTTCCTTGGTTTCTAGGAACGCTGTCCTCATTAATTTTGTTGTTTCACATGTAGATAGTATAAGGAGGATTCACAGGCTTAGACTTTTCCAGAAATACTAATTCCTCCTTCTACTTGTACTCTTAGAAGTTCCTCATACCAAAAGTGCTCTGAAGGGCATGACTTCCAGTCACTTAGCTAAAATTATTTTCATGTGGTCTGTAGGCTTCTTTGTATCAACATCACACAGAGATCAACCTCTTATTTCTTGTCACAGTTACTGCTTTCTGAGGATCCTCCTCTTTCTTGTTGTGCTGTTCTTAAGTGCCAGTCTTTCTTTTATTCCTTTCACTATCTTTTGGATTTTGGGTGGGTTAGATCCTTGTTTGTTGACTGCATATCACATGTGTTTTTTTTATAGATGTCACTCTCTGCAGAAGAGTCATCCTCTTTATCTGTGGCTGCTGTCAAGGAGGAGAGTCAATGTGATGAAGGTTTATTTCCCTCAATCCATTCCCTAAAGGAGAGCAGCTCCCAGCCTGGTGAGGAATCATCCTCTTTCCCAAAGAGCATCTGTATAAAGGAGGAAGAAGACTCTCAACTGGATGACTGGCTGTCCCCATGCACCTCAACCCTAATGGTAAAGGAAGAGCCAGACTTTTTCCTTCCAGTCTCATCAACAAAGGATAAGAAACAATTCACAGTGCTGAAGTCACCATCTAAGGGCATTTCTGACACGTTAGTTATAAAGAGGCGGGAAAGACGGGAAATGGGCAGATCCAGAAGGAAACAACGCCTGGCACTGCCTTGCCTAGAAGAGCCTGTCCTTGTTTTGCCAGAAAACCATGGCTTTGACCCTTTCCTGCAGGAAAGCCAGCCTCTTGAGAATGTATCACAGCTCAGCTGCTTGCAGGGGGAAGAAGGACCCTTTAAAACACCAGTCAAGGAGATGTTTGGCAAATTGCCGGTTTCTTCCACTCCCAGCAAAGTGTCAGCAACTACTACCCCCCCTTTAGCCACCCTCGACCCCTGGAAGTCTGCATCCTTAGCCAAGGGAAGTCATGAGCTGGACTTCAGTCCAGTGAGAACACTTCAGTTGCCATTCACACCCCCGCAGGAGAACCAGGACTTGCTGGATTTCAACAGCACACCCCTTAAAAATCCCCTCTTTGAGTCCCCTCAGGAGCTGCTCAATACAGAATCCAGTGTCCCCTTCATGAGCCCTTCAGCTTTCACTTATGAGTCTTGTAAGCAATCATCTGTTGAACTTCCAGCCTCTGGCTTTACTGAAAACCGGTCACTCATGGAGGGCCTGATCCTGGACACCATGAATGACAGTCTGAGCAAAATCCTTCTAGATATCAGCTTTCCTGGTCTTGAAGATGAAAATTTAGGAACAGATATTAGTTGGTCTCAGCTCATACCTGAACTGAAGTAAGCTGGCCTGAGAGCTGAATTTGGCTTGTTCTAATCTTACAGAAAGCACTCTACTCTTCTGAGATCTGTTCACATATTCTAAAAAGACTGTTTGCTAATTCCCACATCCATGGGAGCAGAGGGCATTATTGACTCCTGCTAAGCTGGGAGACAAGCCCATTGGCTGCTATGAGCTCCCTTTAAAAGCTGAAACATGTGGAATATAGATAGAACCTCTCTAACCTGGTGCTAGAGACAAGAGTCACTGGACAGAAGTTACCAAGAGAACATCTAGGTAGGCCCTGAATGGCATTTGCTATTCAGGGTGTCAGATCAGAGTAAATGGATGAATTCCTTAGTTACATACAATAGGAAAGAGCCTGGGAAACTCCTCCTAGCTCTGTCCTTACTTCCCTTTACTTTGTTCTCCTATTACTTAGTATCTGCTGTGTAGTTTTAATGGCTGTAAATACTGTACATTTCTTAAATTAGCCCTTAATTATAATTAATAATTTTATTCTTGTAGGGTTATGGGAATATTTGGGCTGATAAAGGTTGGACTTAGAGTGTTGTCCATATGTTCCACATCTCCTATATTCTACCTTAGATGAGAGCTCAAAATACTTGCAGCATAAAATATTGGTTCGGCTTTCTTTTTCCAGACTGAAATGTAGAATAACTTGAATTGATCTGACTGGCTCTTCTGGTTCCAGATTTCTATTATTACAGAATAATAGAACCTAGAGGACTGGATAGAGTCACAGTTGCAGTAAGATGGAGTTATATTGAACGGTTAAAACTGCCCCTGTTACAGTCATGAGTTGAGAATGTAAACACTTACAAAGCGAATGCTGTTTTTTCCACTGAAAAGTGGCTCTGGAAACACAAGGTATGTTTCTCTTGGTGTAATAGGACAACTCATCCAAATTCTCATGTCAAAAGCAGAAATTGCCATGGAAAAGACCTGATCCTTCTCCTTACAGACAAACAATGGCTCATGTATCTACATACTCAATAAAGCTTCTCTGAGAACACAGCTAAGTGTTGCCTTTACTGCTTTCGCTCTAAGCAGCCTGCTCAGCATGAACAGCTGATTTTTGCTTGTTTAATGTGCTTCAAAATTTGTCCCATTTTGTGGCACATTTTCTACTAGTACATGTTACACAGCTGTCAACACTCTACTTGGGAGTCTCAAGACATTCTATCTCCCTCTCACTTCTTGCTCAGAATCACAGAATCACCAAGGCTGGAAAAGACCTTTAAGACTGTCAAGTCCAGCCTCTGACCTAACACCACCACATCAGCCAGACCACGGCACTAAGTGCCACATCCAGCCTTTCTTTGAACACATCCAGGGATGGTGCCCCCACTACTTCCCTGGGAAGTCCATTCCAATTCTAATCACCCTTTCTGTGAGGAAGTACTCCCTAATATCCAACCTAAACCTCCCCTGGAGCAGCTTCAGGCCATGCCTTCTTGTCTTGTTGATAGTTGCCTGGAAGAAGTTGCTAGTTGACTGAGGGGATGCATCTACACAACTGACATCCAAAAGCCAGCTAACTAAGGATTGTGTCTCCAGCAAATAATGAAATATTCTTCCCCTTGGAATGGCGAGATGATGACAATTTTAGGTGGATGATCCCTTGCTGTCCCTGTCAGCTGAGGTGCTTTCATGGCCACCTCCCACTATGTTTTGAACACACTTGACCCTAAATTATTTAATTAAGCAACCTATTCTTTCTGACTGACCTCACTGCCAGGGCACATTTTACTGTCTAGTAGCTGAACTAAAACATTATGTACATCTAAGATGACATTTATCTCAAAGTCACTTGCCAGACACATTCAGAGATATAAATACTATCACGTGTTACTTCATTATTTGAAGGATAGGAATATATTGTATTATCCAAGTAGAAAAACTGGAGGGAATTCAAACCAGAATAAACACTTCCCCCCCCAAGATAGAAGGGAAGAGAGAAGTATGGTTGGACTGAATGATCTTAAAGGTCTTTAACAAACAGAACTATTTTGTCATTCTGTGAGGCATTCACAGTCTGCAGGAGGGGAAACGGGCCAGTGTGAGAGTAGAAGTGCGTGATTCAGTACTGGTGAATGGGGATAGTAAAAAGGACCGGAGAACAAAACTCAGAGGATGCTCAGTGAGGCCCCAAGAGGTCAAAAGTATGTGTAAATCAAGAATCATTACAACCTAGAGGCAAGAGAACAAGACCGTGGGAGGGAACACGCTTCCCTGGGAATATTTGTTATTTAAACTCTCTTCATAATTCAGCTTCCAAAGAGACAAGGACAGTTGAAAACAGCTCTGCTGGGCTCTTGGTGGGACTCTGCCTGCATTATGATGTTGGAGTTTGGCCTTGTACTGTGAAGCATTTAGAAAATACTCCTACTCCCACTCCTGCCAAACCTGATTCTGCAAGTTGATGCTGTGGGAACCACAATACCTTGCATAAAGCAGTCAGGATACTGGGTACAAAAAGTTTAACCTCTTCAAATTTTACAATTCCTTTTAAAATAACCAGCTTCCCTTCTAACATTTGAGGATCAAAGATCCCAAGTGAAATGCTAATGCTGTGATGATTAGCAGAGAGTAAAAGGTAAACAACATGGTTTGCTTTGCACTGAGGCCAACTTCTTGGTAGTTCCTGTGCCCACGCTGACATCTCACAGAACCATTGTATACCATTGTGGACCATTGGATTTACTCCTAAGATTGTTATATTTTTGTACACAACCTATAACACAGAAATAATTGGTATCAGTGATGTTGGAATGTTACATGCTACTAAGCTGGGAAAAAAAGAATAGGAGCAACAGCCTAACTTTGCTGTAACTTTCATAGTCCACTGCTGCTATTCACCCCCAGCTGACAGTCACAGAAAGGTGATGCTGTCTGCAGCTTCACAGCTGTGTAAAAATCAGATTCCTCCTCTGCTCATGGGGTTAGAACTGGTGCTTACCAGGGCAGCACATTCACCAGTGAAAAGGAATCAAAATAAAGCAGCTTCAGTTCCAGTTGAAACCTAGAGATTCAAGCAGGACAATGTGGAGGCAAAAAGCTGGAAAACAGAGCTCCACCATGTCCTCTCTCCCCTGAGAGGAAGGATGTCTAGACCAGGGCAGACACTGCAGCTGTATCAGCAGACTCTACCAGCCAGTGATTTCAGGCTACTGCAACTTTGGCTCTTGATGAAGAGGGGCAAAAATGAGGGCAGAAAGCAGAAACCCTGGCCAGAAGCAGAATCCAGGCCTCCAGCATTTCATTCAAGCTGCACACTAAAACCCTTCAGCGCAGCCTATGCCAAACGTGTGACACTCTCTGCAGAACGAGCCTGGGCGTGCCCGCCGGGAGGCTTGAGATGGACGCTCCCTCTCATTCACCAGGGCACTGCATCATCTCCCAGACTGACCCACATTGTTACCGGATTCACCGAGATGCGTCAGAGCCTCCAGCAAAGACACTGACCTGCACTGCCTGTCACTTCTCAGTGACAGTGTCTCTTTAGCTTACCGGGGGAAACAGGCAGTGCACACGCACACACGCACACACACACACACACGCGCCTGCGTGTGCACAGCCCGGGGAGGTAAGTCCAGCCCCCAGGAGCTGGGCCATCCTGCTGCTGCTGCTGCTGCTGGATTTTTCCAGCCAGAGAAGCTTGCCGGCTCTGCTGTCGTTTATGGAAATTTGTTCCTGACGTTGGGCTTTTCCTGTTGCGACAGGGACCCACCGGCTGGAGGAGACAGAGCTGCAGGCGGGGTGGGAGAGAAAAAAGCGGGGAGCAGAGGGACACTGGGGGAGTGGAGAGGAACAGCGGGAGAAAAAGGCACAGAGACACTTCAAAGATGGGTGAGTTATAACTAAGAGAGCAGGAAGAAAGGCAGAGAAGGGGAGAGAAGGAGAGCTGTGAGGAAGAGAAAGGGGAAGGAGCTCAGAGACTGAGTCAGCCTCGGGAGGGCAAACATCTGGAGACAAGTGCAGGGGACACCCCAGCACGCAGAGAAGGACCTGTTCTGTCTGAATCTTCACCATGAGCACAAGGAAGAGCTCCCCACTGCCACTGGGGCAAGGAGACCCAGGAAAAAAGCAGGAGGAGAGTACACTTGACCTCACACAGGAGCGTGAGATGGAGCTGAGGAACAAAGCTATTCTGCAACAGAAGAGGCGCCTTAAACAGGCCACCCAGTTTGTGCACAAGGACTCTGCTGACCTGCTTCCCCTGGATGGTTTGACAAGGCTTGGCACCTCGAAGGATCTGGTGAGTCCAGTGGGACCCCATGTGGGAGGGGGTCTTCGTAATAGACTTCATAACAGCTGGGAACTGCTGCCAGGCTTTGTGAAAGGGTCAGGGGTTCAGCATCACCGAGGAGCAGGTCAGGGCAAAGAATGAATTGCCCGTTTTTTGCATCCATCATTCCATACATCCCCATAGGGACCGTACTCCTCCCCGAGGCAGGCAGAAATGGTCTGGAAGGACTCCCCAGAATCCAACTTTCCACTTACCTTATACATAAATATGTTAATCTGACATGTATGTTTCCATGTGGGACATCTCTGAAAGTCCCCCTGTATCCCTGCATGATCTAGCTCAAAAGCAGACTCCTTCCTGGACTTAGCAGGAAGGAAAAGCACAGTTCATGAAACTCCAAGAGATTTATGTTTGACCTTGTCACCTTTTTGCAGAACTCTACTTTCCCCCAAACTTTAGGTTTAAGGAGGGGCAAGCACAGGGCAGGACAGCCAGCCAGGTGGCTGCAGTGGATAACTGCATCTGTGGGTAACTCCTCTGGGGAGGAGGCACAGGAATGAGGCCTGTGGACATCTCTTTGTGGACACATGGAGCAGGAGGCAGCAGGGAGGGGATCAGCTTCAGGACCCTCAGCAAACCGTGGTCTGGAGGGACTTCCCCAAGGCAGAGAGCAGTTTCCCACAGGATCTCTTGCTGCACACATCTGCACACATCTTCTCCTTGTTCTGGCAGTTTTGCTGTCTAACTTTTCCTCTATGCTGTGGAGTTCAACTGCTCAAGGATGTGGAGGTCTAAATAATTTTCCCAGAAGGAGGCCTGGGTCTGGCCATTGATGAGGGCACAGCTTATTCCAGATGTGCCAGTGGGTGTCATAGGTCTTGCCCCTCTCTGCAGCCCGTGCTTCCCTCTGTGTCCTCAAACCATCACAGCAATGCCACAGATGCTCCTGAGCACGTAACTCCTCCAGTCTTTTTCCCAGCTCCCATGGCAGGCCCTGCAGTTGCTGACAGTGAGATGTGCTGCACACAGGGACACGTGTGCAGGACAGGCAGGGTCTCAGGTGCTGAGCCTGAGTGGGAGCTCTCCTTGCTGAAACTTCCAGGTGCAGTTGCTGCACTGTGTGCAGATGAGGGATCAGTGCCACTTCCTTGTGTTGGCACTGCTTCCTGCTCCTGCCATGCTTCCCACAGTTGCATTGGCTTCTCCTGAGAGTCCCCAGCTTGGCAGGGTCGAGGGTGACTCCTCAAAGTCACCCAGAGCTGTTGCCTCATGCTCTGACAGCCCTTGGCAGCCACACATGGCTTTCAGCAGGGACTGGTCTGAAGTGTCACTCTGGCCCCAAACACAGGGAAGCCACACAAGTGTTGTGCTGGAGAGGAACAAGGCCTCTTCTCCCCACGGGGAGTGAGGTCTGGCAGCATGGGAGCTTGAAGGGCCCAGTTTAGTCTGGCAGCTCAGGCAGGCTAACGCTGGCCCTTCATGCCCAGAAGCACTGCAGGTGAAACAGCTTCTCAGGAGGGGAAAGCCACACATATCCCTGGTCTCCTCTTTGTAGAGATTTTGCCAGGGAAAAGGGAAGAGTCACTTTGGAGTCTTTTAGTGCATGTTTGCTGAGCCCAGCTACAAAGGCAGAGAGAAACACGTCTACATCCTTTGGTCTGGAATTTGCTCCTGTCACACTGTGCATCAAAACAGCTGTGGTGCCAGCCAGAGGCCTCTGGGAGTCCTGCACAGCACGAGTGGCAGCCTTGGCTTCCAGAGGCTGGCACTCTGAAGCCCCAGGTGCTTGCTGACAGGCAGGTCTTGTCTGAATTGCTCGCCATGAGCAGCTCTCCTGGTTAAATTAACCATCCTAGGCAGGAGATTTCCCTGCATGCAGGTGGTGTTATGTCACTCAAAACCAGTCATAGTTCAGGCTTGGTCCGTAGCAGCATGGATGGAACATTTTTACCATAGAGCCAGGGAGCAGTGAATAAAGTATAACACCTGCTCTGGAATGGGTTGCCTAGAGAGGTTGTTGATGCCCCATCCCTGGAAGTTTTAAAAGTCAGGCTGGACAAGGTTTTGTGCAACCTGATCTAGTGGTAGGGTTCCCTGCTCATGGCAGGGGGGTTGGAGCTTGATGATCTTTAAGGTCCCTTCCAACTTAATGATTCTATGATTCTACGTAGGCCGTTGTTACTGAGAATGCTGTTGTCAGCTCTGAGCAGCTGCTCTGCTGGACAATGGCCATGAGTACATGGAGAAAGGACAAAGCTATCTTAAACAGGCCTCCTTAACTGCTGCTGCCCATTGTTGATTCAGTAGCTGTGCAGCCACTGGAGGCACTGGATCAAACATCAGGCAAAAAACTAGAGCCTCAGCCTGATGACTAAGGGAGCTTTCTCTCCAAGCAACACTTCCTGTGTGTATGCACAGTTGGGATAAGAAGTTTTTCAGAATTTTTCTTTGCTTTTGGTGCACCTCTCCTTCTTCTGCACAGAAGGAAGGGACAGGGATACAAGGTACATGAATGAGGCATTTGAGATAAGAATTAAGTTATTTCAGCCATTGATCTGGCTGGTGGTACTCCCTTCTAGTTGTGGACAACATAGGGCTTCGAAGATGCTACCCAGCCAGGAAGAGACTCAAACAGTATCACTTCTGATGAAGAAGGGTGGAGACAGACTCCATTAAGATAACATGGGAAGCTGGTTTTAGTTTCCTATGCAAGGGGAAGCTTCCCTGTTCGCTGCAAATAATTTCTTGTGCACCTAAAGTTTCTGGTGCCTTGCCTTCTTACCCACCTATGCATCACACACATGCTGCATCCTCTGTCCCCTCCCACCTCAGAAGGTGTGAGTGTGCCTGGATGGATGTCAGCACACACCTACCAGGTGTTTCTGTACCTGAACAGGTACAAGACTGCCAACTGCATGTTTAGCTGAAGGAATAGAAATGTGTGGGGAGAGCATGCATCAGGCAAGTTCTTTTCCTCCAACAACTGCATCCCAGAGACCTTCCTGTCTCAGATATCCCAACTCTTCAGCACCACCTCAGTGGCTACGGAAAAAATGTCGGGATTTAAGAAGAGAGTTTTTTGGAAAAGCTTTTCATCAGGATGATCAGCTGGGTCAAGCATTTGCAGCCTGCTTCCCCGGGCTAGCAAATGTCCTTGTTTGTAGCTCCATACTTAGCTGGGATTTGTCTTTCTTTGTGATGGAGACAGCAGCCCCACAGCGTGGTCCAGCGGCGCCTCTTGGAGGGCAACCTGAGCAAGATGCGCTGCGAGACCAGGGCTCAGGCCGCGTGGGTTCCGTCGCCGCTGGCAAAAGACCAGGATGGAAAGAGTAAAAAGGGAGAGGACAGGAGAAAAGAGACTTCACCCCTGCTAATACAGTGCCAGGTAAGGCAACAACACAGCGCTGCTGGTTTCACGGCCACGACAAATGCTCAGTGAGTTCCAGGGCCATGATAAGCTGTTAAACTGTAAAGCCAGCTGCAGGCAGAGAGAGCAGATGCCCCACATGGCCTCTCCCATGTTTGGATTCAGTTCTTCCAACAGACAGAGGAAAGCCTTTCTGCCACATGCATTGTAGCTGTTCCTAATTTGAAGATAAATTACCTTAACAATATTCCCTTCCTTTGGAAGCCAGCTTGCACATTGTATGAGATATTTGGTACCTGCATACAAAAGCAAGGCATGTCTCCTTATCACTTTAAGACAGATTGCTCCTAGTTGATTTCCCCTTACTGGATCCTGTCTGGTCTGATCTCTCACGTGTCAAAGGACCTCCTAAGAAAGTGGCTAAATGTGTTCTCAATTATCAGTCTTGCATTTCTTGATGAAACCAGCATTTTTAGCTCCCTTTTCTTCTTATATCCTCCTACAGAGCAGAACACACTCTTCCCAAGCCCTTGTAGGTAAGAAAGCACATCCAAAAGCTGTGGCCCATGAAAGAGGGCTGCGTGGTTAGAGCTGTTCAGTGATACACAGTCATGAGACTCACCAAGATACAGACCTGGTATACAGAACCCATTTTAAAGCTGTATTTATTACAGTTACCTCTCCTAAAGAACATCTCACATATTAGAGTGTCTAGACTTCCAGAGAAAACACCTATACCTTTGAAAATTCAGTTGGAACAATTAATTACCATATGAACACAGACTGGCAGCAAGCTTCTGAAATGTTCAGATTGAGTGTCTCAGTATCATGCAAAATCACTGGTTTGTTTTCCAGCCTTTACTGCTGCAGTTACCCTGTGGTTTTGACTCTGATGTTGCTGGGTTAACATAACCATACTTGGGAGAACAGTCTAATAGGTTGAATGGCTCCCAGGATAATTTCTCCAAATAGCTGAAGTCTGTTCTTGAGCAAATTAAGGTGTTTATTTTTCTGTAATCACCATTCTGTATTGTTTTGCAAGAGGAAACTCAGTGATAAAGATGTTTTGTTTTTTACCAGGCATGTGCACTGAACAAGGGCAGGCATGCACAGGTATCATATACCATGGGGCAGGAGCTAACTCATCATCAGACTCCACTACTCATTCCTCTTTTGTATTTCTAATGGACTGTGCCCCAGCTGTCACACACATTGTATTTTTCCTCCCTGGAGGAAGGCTAATGAACATCACAGTCAAGGTAATCAGTCTAATGCTGCACTTACTGTCTCTGAACTCAGAAATCTCTGCACAGGCATTTCTCTCTTTTTCTGCCCTTCTTAAGAGCCAGTCACAGTTTGACACAATTAATCTTCTTAAATTGAAGGAAGGAATGCTGTTGCCATGAGCTAAGGTGAGATCTCTCCCCAGCTTGCCTTAGGGACCTCTACTCCTAGTCCTGAGTGTTTCAACTTGACATGCCAGGCAGCCTGGAACTATGGCAGCAGAAGTATTGCCAAATTCATGAGCTTTTAAAATGCTTTGCAGCTTTTCCCCTCCTGTGAGACTCCCCCCTCGCTGACAGCAGGTTTTGGCCAAGAGGCATGCATGGATGAAGGGCAAGAGAATGGGTCCATGTTTTTGGAAGAGGCAGCAGCTCAGCTGGGTCTCCTACCAGCTCTGCCATATGGGATCTGTATCACCACAGAATGGCAGGACTGCTCATTTATCAAGGAGCTGTGAGAATATGCCTGTAGGGAATGTGCAAAGAACTTCACAGAGAGTTTCTAGAGGCTGGTTTCTTTGTGGTCTGACTTTTTCATAAACATCCCAGCTGGTATCAGGGCACTGAAGTTTTGTGTTCTCCCAAACGGTGACATTGTATCTCTGTGGCAATTTCCATGCCATGTGCCAAAGAGCAGCCTTGGATTGAATGTAGCTGCCAGTGTGACTGAGACTGGAAGCACATGATAGAATGGGTAAGACACAGTGCTGACAGCCAGAAGTTTGTGAGATCTGTCTTGCCTTTGGCATTCCTAAAGTAATTCAGTAACAGAATCACAGAATGTCAGGGGTTGGAAGGGACCTCTGAAGATCATCGAGTCCAACCCCCCTGCCAGAGCAGGGCCAAAACTAAGGCAGATCACTCAGAAGGGCATCCAGGTGGGTTTTGAATGTCTCCAGAGAAGGAGACTCCACAACCTCTCTGGGCAGCCTGTTCCAGGGCTCTGTAACCCTCACAGTAAAGAAGTTCTTCCTCATGTTGACATGGAACTTCCTCTGTTTGAGTTTGAGTCCATTGCCCCTTGTCCTATCACAGGGTATAAGTGAGAAGAGCTTGTCCCAGCCTTCTTGATGCCCAGCCCTCATGTATTTATAGACATTAATTAGACCCCCCTCAGTCTTCTCTCTAGACTGAAAAGCCCCAGGTGTCTCAGCCTTCCCTCATAAAGCAGGTGTTCCAGTCCCTTAACCATCCTCGTAGCCTCTGTTGGACCCTCCAGTAGATCCCTGTCCCTCTTGAACTGGGGAGCCCAGAACTGGACACAGTGCTCTAAGTGAGATCTCACCAAGGCCAAGTAGAGGGGAAGGAGAACCTCCCTCCTGCTAATGCACCCCAGGACACCACTGGCCTTCTTGGCCACAAGGGCACATTGCTGTCCCATGGAGAACTTGTCTACCAGGACTCCAAGGTCCTTCTCCATGGGGCTGCTCTCCAGCAGGTCACCTCCTAACCTGTACTGGTGCATTTTGTTGTTCCTTCCCAGGTGCAGGACTCTGCATTTGCTCTTGTTGAACCTCATTAGGTGCCTCTTTGCCCAGCTCTCCAGCCTGTCCAAATCTCACTGAATGGCTGCACAGCCTTCAGGTGAACCAGCCAGTCATC